AATATGACATTATAGCATTTTAGCTCCTTGGGTTGGAGCCAGTCTTACAACCTGTTTTTATAAGCTGGAACGGAGGATGCGCTGAGCCGTTCGATTTCCTCTTCATCAATGCCAAACATCCGTTCGATTTGATGATGACGCCAGCATCACGGCTAGGAGTGGGCGGGAAACAGAGAGAGAGAGAGAGAATAGAGAGGTGGACAGCTGGCAAGAAGGGAAGACTAGAGTCCAGACTTCGCGACTTGCTTTGATTTTGAAAGCGGGATTTCTTTGTTCTTTACATTTTATCAAGCCGTTTTTATTATAAACATTTCTTTGTTCTTTGCATTTTCATTTTAAGTCGTTTTGATTATAATTAAGCATGTCAACCTGATTTGGTCCGTTGTCCCGATCAAGTTAGTGATTCAAGGATTGATAGGTTGGTCATTTTAGTTGGGTTTAGTCCGATTTAGTCCAGATAGATAAAAAAAATATGTTATGTTACATACACATATAAATTGTATCAAATTCAACTAACATATAAATAATATGTATACCAAATTTTTTATATAAATAATAATGTATAACATTAAACCAAAATATTGATTCATACTTAAATCGGGTTGGATCCGGTCCTTAAGCCTCATTGTTTAAGGAGGTTCTTAAACCATTTTTATTGGCTGATACTAGATTAGGTAGTTAATGAGGGGTTAGTAGTTAATAATTAGTTGGAATAAATAAGATATTATAAAAATATAATTAATATTATTCATTAATGATTCTCTTTCTCTCTCCCTCTTGATCTTCTCCATAACCCTCTCTCTCCACTACAATTAAAAGGAAATTCGAAATTAATTTAATTAAATATTATTATTTAATATTTAATAAATTCAAACTTAATATTTTTTATATTTTTAAATGAAAATAAAAAATATGTGCTCTCTCTCACTTCGTGGCAACTTGCAATACAGTATTAACATTTTGCAATGACGTTATCAACATTTATTAAATGAATCGTTATTATTATACCTCATCATTATTAACGACTTCAATATACTTATCAATTCCTTACAATTACATTATTAACAATTTTGGATCAATTGTTACTGTTTTATAGTTTCGTCATCAACGCCTATGAATGAATCATTAAGTTATGTAACATAGTCATTAATAGTTTGAATAACTATATCATTGATTTACAACATCTTTAATACTAATGATTCACATTTTCACATCATGTTTATAACTATCTAGTCATGGCCTCTTCCAATAATTTCTAATGACATTATTAACGTTTTATGATCAATTAATATTGCTTTACATTATCATTCTCAATGATCATAAAGCACAATACTAATTTTCAACATCTTGGGTACTTGTGACATAGTCCACCTGTGTGATTCAGTCAAACAAACATTGTCCAGAAAAATATTAGCTCAAGCAAACCAACATTCACGCCTCAACACCAAACTATTAATAACAATACAATAAATCATTGATAACGAAAAGTATTTCGTTGAAAATAAACACAAAACATCAATGTAAAAATGTCCGACTTCAACATTATAAATGACATCAAACTTTTAATAAAGATACTAAAAACCATTAATATCAAATCAAGTCACTGATAAGGAAATAGATTTTTGTAATATAAAAATATTAATAATATTCCGATGCAATGTTTAATGTCAAATAGCATTAAAAACGCATTAATAAGTAACATGTATTTAATATATAATGCATCCAAAAACTTTGATAATGATAGCAACTAATGATTGTCAAGTATCTTATTAGATATTATTAATATCTTATTTTCAAACATTGATAATGCTTATACACGCCTATTAATAATGACACCAACTACGTTACTAACTTAGACTGAAAGATTAATAACCATAGTTATATCATTAAACGTAAATTCACTTTTGATAATGTCATATACAAACGAATATCTAACAAGTATGCTTGTTGATAATGACATTTAACAAAGTTACAAACATAAACGGAAAATTTTAATAATTCAAATCACTAAACATAACCAATCTTACAAATGAATTAAATTTTTGCTAATAGTTGTATTGTGCTTGGAAAAAAATATTGATAATAGCACTTCAAATGATTATAAATCATTGCGAACCAAATTGATAATACGATGTAATAGTAAATAAACTTCAAGTACCAACAAATTGAAAACACAATTTCACTTTTCCTAATATTACAAACAAAACATAACATAAAAGGTTAATAATGTCATATAAAATTATTAAAAAACATGTCGAACAACATTAATAATAAAAAAACGAATACCTAACAACGAAAAATCTCAAACCCATGCAATAAAAAGCCTTAATGATGATTCAATTTATAAATATTGATAATGTCATTACAAAATGTTAATACTTAATACTAATCGGAAGTTGCCAAGATGTGAGAGAGGCATATATTTTAAATTTCAAATTTCCATTTTAGAAAACGAAAATTATTAAATTTGGATTTTAATAAATATTAAATAAAATTAATTTCATGTTTCTTTTTAATTATAATGTAGAGAGAGGGTTATGGAGAAAATCATGGGAGGAGAGAGAAAGATAATCATTAATTAATTATATTAATTTTAATTATATTTGCATAAACCCTAATTACCCTTAACTACTTTTTAACTACTAACCCTCATTAACTACCTAATCCACTTTCAGCCAATAGGAAGCCTTTAAGATTTTCCTTAAAAAATGAGCCTTAAGGACTAGAACTCAAGCCCATCAACGCCTATGAATGAATCTTTAAGTTATGTAACATAGTCATTAATAGTTTGAATAACTATATCATTGATTTACAACATCTTTAATACTAATGATTCACATTTTCACATCATGTTTATAACTATCTAGTCATGGCCTCTTCCAATAATTTCTAATGACATTATTAACGTTTTATGATCAATTATTATTAACTACCTAATCCACTTTCAGCCAATAGGAAGGCTTTAAGATTTTCCTTAAAAAATGAGCCTTAAGGACTAGAACTCAAGCCTACTTAAATCCACCCCACTATAGTAAAACTTCAACAACAAATCAAATTCAACATAAATAAAAATTCAATTACTCTTTTGGGAGAATAACTTCTAACTGTGTTTTTACCAAGACAACAATTTCTAATTCAATTGCACTATTAATTCCTATGACCTAACTAATATATATTCTCAGAGATAAAAACTCATAATTTTATTAAATTAATAATATAATATAAATAAAAGGCCATAACCTTGTTTCATTAAAAATATTGAATAAATTTTCATTAAAAATATACATCTTTTTTTCATCTTCCTCTATTCTTGTTTTCTCCGCTCCAATCAAACCTTCACCTTTTTTCCACTGCAATTCTTCTTCTTTTGTTGTCGTCGTCGATCCAATTAACCCTGCAAATTATGTCTCGCACTCGCTAGCCTCCTTAATAGCTTCGAATCCCCTTAACAACCTTACATGGTTGTCTTTGTTCCTCTGACACGATAACATCGACCGAAGCGGATCGGATAGCGCTTTTTGGAGTCGTCGTCGTTGGATTCAGTAGATAACAACCCAGATCTATTAACCGTTCTCCACCGACGGATCGAAGGATCAAAAAGAATCAACCGACAGATATATCTGTAAGTTAATAACAATGGTTAGCACTCTAACTTATCCCTCACAACCCACATCCATTAGCCCAAGGTCATTGATAAAAGTATAGAAAGGAACATATTGAGAAAGAGTGAAAGGGTTACCCCTTCCTTATCTTCCTCTGCTAAAATTGAATTAAAATCGCCAATTATTAAAATATGCACCGCTAATGGCAAACAAAACTGAGTTAGACGATCAAATTGAGCACTCTTAGTCTTTATATGTAACAACCCGATCTGCTGGAGTGATGACGTGTGTAGATAGACAAGTATAAATAGCTACAGCTGTTAGGCGAGGGGTATCTTTGGCCAATTGTGTAAACTGCTAGTTACTTTCCCTTTCTTCGCGTTAGCTGTAGTCTATAGAAACCAGACTTCTCTTCTTCAGTACTTCCCTGTAAATCCTCCATTTCCCATTGTTCATCTCTTTCGCCAGATTCATCAATAAACGATCCTTACAAGTGGTATCAGAAGTCTGTAATCTAGCAATGGCGACCCACACCACACAAATCATTGTTTTGGAAAATCAAATGACGGCCATCATTCAGAAGATGGACTCACAACACTGGGATCTGTAGGTCGACATTGCTGCTCTTGCGGCTTCGACGAAGGCCAACATTAACACTCTTACTACTTCGTTGGAGTGACGACGAAAGGATTCTCCGGTCCGTTCTCCATGGCATGCGAATCACAATCAGTTCCCGATCCACAGTAGTTCAGTCCGCCACCGCTTCGGCCGTCGATTCAAGGGTGTTCAAACGGTGTGGTTACCGTGGTAACCTTTTTAACCGGTAGTATTTGGATAATTGGTTTGGTTTGGTTTGGTTAAAAAATAACTTGTTTGGTTTCAGTGGTTTGGTTTGGTTTCAGACACTCCTAACCAATCAAACCAAATTAACCAATTAAGCAATTATCCATATATCTAATATATATTATATACACATACTTAATACTTGGTATAACCACTCTAGAGCTAAACATTCATTCCTTTTAGGCTCATCAACAATTAAGTGGAATATTGTTCTATACTGTATTACTATTACTATATATATATATATATATATATTTGTACTTGTAGAGTGTAGACCATGATATATGAACGCTCAATTTAGATAAAAACTCATACAGTACATTAGATGAAAACTTAAAAGGAAGATCCTTTTCAATGTTGTCAGAACCGAGCCGGAGCATGAGCCGGTAACGTGAACGACTTGCACTTTAGTGGTCCAACCAGTATTTAACCGTTAAATAAAAGACACATAAGGTAACAATTGAATAATTTAATAATTAAAATAAAATATAGTTTTCAGGTACCACTTAGTAATTTTACCAAGTATATAAACTAAAAATAACAAACCCTAATTCAATCACCCACCCCAGCGGCAACGCCGCTCTCCCCCTATCCCATCTCTTTTTAAGAAAATATTTCCATCGCTCTTTTCTCTTAATCTCAAATGCTAGATCGGACTCTAGCCCTACAGTGACGGCGATGAAAGAACGAGGATGGAGGACAAAGGTGGCGGCACATCTTCTCTACTTGCGAGGGAGCTCTGGATGGGTGGAACCCAACAGCGCCGCCACCATCAGGAGCGACCGCCACACTCCGATTGTCAGAGATGTTGGATGAGAGGAGGGTTCGATGGCGCCGCCGAAAGCCTAGAAGACGATGGGTTCGGCTACAGTGGCTGTGTTGTTGGAAATCCCCCCACTCGAAGAAATTGAACCCAGAAATTTGTTGTTGATTTTTTTATTTATTTCCAAACGGTCAGAAACCAAAAATCGGTTGGACGGTTCGAGCGACTCGAATGGCTAACCATTTTGGTCGCTCAAAAACCGTCCTTCCTTACCGTTGTGGCTATTGAATGGTTCCGAGCCGGGCTGGAGTCCGGGTGCCTGTTTTACCGGTTCGATCGATCGGCTCGGCTTTAACAACAGTGGTCCTTTTGGTGATTGAAGTAGGTGATTGATGATGATAACTGGAACACATGGAGTTTGGGACATCATGGGTTGTTGCTGGAGTTGTATGGGCATATATGATATTCAACACTCCCGCTCAAGCGTAGACATGAATGACAAGAATGTCAACCTTGAAAAGAAAATGTGAAGAACGGTAAAGGGGACGATCATGTTTGGATCGCGACTGCCTTTTGAACATCTTGGACGAGGTTGATGTTGGAGGCCACTGAAGGCATCTCTTTGAACAACCTGATGGATATGTTGATATAAATCGATTCACTGGTTTGGGTTTGTGCCGCTTACGGTCTCATGCCTTTCAGTCTTTCTTCCCCACCAGCTGTTGCTCAGTTGCCTACTGCTTCATCAGCTGCTGTATATCCAATCAATTCTTGTACTTATCCCCTGTTGGTTCATCGACTTCTGAATCCTCAATTCCGTTGGATATCTTCCCTTTCCTAGGATTTTCTTCTCTTGAAGTCCCAACGTCTTCTCATGAATTCCGTTCCTAAAGCCTTCTCCTGGACTGCTTCCAATCGTTGTCGAATCAGTTTTCTTATCCATATGACTGGGTCATGTTTGTTTCCTCTGTTTCACATTACCATTAGAAGTTGCAAACCATTGACATGGTTATTAGTGACTCAGATGATAATTACAACTTCAAAACTTCTGTTGATGGTGGGTTCACTCATGAACACTTAGCAAAGGTTACACAGTATTTTGGGTTTTAGATTTTCCCAACATATTATGGGCTTCGCCTGAGTTCTCATAAGGGGTGCACTTGGGCAGATTCCAAAGGCCCTTATAAAGATTGTGATTATCGATCAATTGCTTGTATGTCTTGGGATGTCACTATGAACTCAAGGGAGGCCTCAAATTGTGGTGTTGTAACCTGTCTGTGTCACTCTTGGGTTTGTAATGGAGAGGCCCTGTTCTTAGCTTGAAAAGGACCCTACAAAGCTTAGCTTTTCGAAGCGTTGGCGTTCAAGCAGTTTTTGGTTTAATTAGGAGCCTGTCAACAGACTGTGGACAGGTTGGTAGCAACTGTGGTTGTGTTGTTTTGTTGGGGTGCAGGTTGCTACAGCTACTTGTCCTTGTTAGCAAATTAGAGAGTATTCTTGTTTGTCTACAGCTCCATATTGGGCAAGCAAAGGTCTTTGTTGTGGTTCAATACTCCTCTCGAGGGGCATCTACAGATTTGGGACATGTTGGTCATTATCTCCTGTTAATGCTACCTGGGAAGACTTGCTCTCCTTCAAGGCGCAGTACGCCACTTTTCCATCTTGAACACAACTTGAGGACAAGCCGTCTCTGAAGGGAGAGGGTTTGTAACAACCCGAGCTGCTGGCATGTTGACGCGTGTAGATAGACAAATATCAATAGCTACAGCTATTAGGCGAGGAGTATTTGTGGCCAATTGTGTAAACAGCTAGTTACTTTCCCTTTCTCCGTGTTAGCTATAGTCTATAGAAACCAGGCTTCTCTTCTTGAGTACTTCCTTGTAAATCCTCCATTTCCCCATTGTTCATCTCTTTCGCTGGATTCATCAATAAACGATTTGTACATTATAATACTATCTTCAATCTTCACAACTGTCTCTGGAATGGTTTCCAAAACAATCGTCCAGGCCTTAAAATGTATGGGTTTCTTAGTTAGCTGTAACGAATACAAGCCCATCTCTTCAGCAGGCCTTTATTATAATTTTGATTGTGGGCTTCGTCTGTATTTTAAGCCCATAAGAGGAGTAAAAAAGTAGCAAATGTCTCCTCCTTAACTTCATCTTCTTCCTCAAGCCATTTATTCGTCCTCTTTCCCATCTCTGTAAAATGTAAATAGGAAGCCTAAAATCTCGCCTAGAATCCAACTTCATTTTTCCCGCCCAATTCCCCTGCACTTTCAATCGCTCACCACACAATCGCTCTACTCACAAGTCATAACAAACTCTCTCTCTCTCTCTCTCTCTCTTCACAGTGCAAACCAAGAACCGCCATGGATGCTCTGCTGAAGCTCCCTTCCCGAGCTTTTTTCCTTCCGCTCCTCCTCCTCTCCCTTTCATCAATCATGTCTACTCCGATTACTGCCTCCTCCGCCGTTATCGGCGTCACATACAGGTCACCTCTCCCCTCGCCGGGTCCGGATCCTATCAGTAACCGACCTATCAGTAACGGTCAGTAACCGTCCATCTGACCGTCCATCGCGCCATCTTCCCAACCGTCAGATCATGGCAATTAAATACACGCGGGGGCAAAAAGGTAATCACGCCTTCTCTCCTTCTGACAATTTGAATTGCAGACGTGACCGCGACAACCGTCCCGCCTTCTCTCCATTCTTCCTCCCGTTCCTCTATTCTCTCACCAAAATCGCAGCAAAAACTTCCAGAAAAAACTTCAAATCGAACGATTTTCGCAAAGCTTTTCGAAGAATCATTCAACGAAACTCTTCGTCGAAAAATGAAGGGTTTCCAACTTCAACGAGTCTCAAAAATCGTTTTCGCACAAAATATCAAGGTAAAACCTCACTTCTTTCTTCGAAATCCATCCATAGAACAATAGAAACAGTATTTTAGTCACTCTTCATGTGAAAATTGTAGTAAAACTTGCTACATTACCGAATCGTTAGCATGCATTGCTGAACTGGTGTAGAATCTGTTGTGTTTTGCTTCGTTACCACATGGTATGGCGTGGTAAACTATGATTGCACGTTATAAAAAGGCAAGAAACGGTAACTCCTTATGTGTTTTAGTTTGTTACCATATGGTAATGTGTGGTAACCTATGGTTTCATGTTGTAAAATAGCAAAAAACCATAAGTTCTTCTATGTTTTAGTTTGTTACCATATGGTAATGTGTGGTAACCTATGGTTTCATGTTGTAAAATAGCAAAAAACCATAAGTCCTGCTGTGTTTTAGTTTGTTACCATATGGTAATGTGTGGTAAGCTATGGTTTCATGTTGTAAAAAAGCAAAAAACCATAAGTCCTGCTGTGTTTTACTTTTTTACCATATGGTAATGTGTGGTAAGCTATGGTTTCATGTTGTAAAAAAACTAAAAAACCATAAGTGCTGCTGTGTTTTAGTTTATTACCATATGGTAATGTGTGGTAAGATATGGTTTCATGTTGTAAAAAAGCAAAAAAACATAAGTCCTGCTGTGTTTTACTTTGTTACCATATGGTAATGTGTGGTAAGCTATGGTTTCATGTTGTAAAAAAGCTAAAAAACAATAAGTGCTGCTGTGTTTTAGTTTGTTACCATATGGTAATGTGTGGTAAGATATGGTTTCATGTTGTAAAAAAGCAAAAAAACCATAAGTGCTGCTGTGTTTTAGTTTGTTACCATATGGTAATGTGTGGTAAGATATGGTTTCATGTTGTAAAAAAGCAAAAAAACATAAGTCCTGCTGTGTTTTACTTTGTTACCATATGATAATGTGTGGTAAGCTATGGTTTCATGTTGTAAAAAAGCTAAAAAACAATAAGTGCTGCTGTGTTTTAGTTTGTTACCATATGATAATGTGTGGTAAGATATGGTTTCATGTTGTAAAAAAGCAAAAAAACCATAAGTGCTGCTGTGTTTTAGTTTGTTACCATATGGTAATGTCTGGTAAGCTATGGTTTCATGTTGTAAAATAGCAAAAAAACAATAAGTCCTGCTGTGTTTTAGTTTGTTACCATATGGTAATGTGTGGTAACCTATGGTTTCATGCTATAAAAATGGAGGAAAACATACGTCCTGTTGTGTTTTACTTCGTTACCATATGGTAATATGTTATAAGACATGGTTTGATGTAATTACCATATGGTAAAATGAGATAAATATATGGTTTGATTTCGTATGGTAGGAAACCATTATCGTACCATATGGTATATTATGGTAAAAAGCATACTAACAGACTATTACTAATTTCTACATTCAGGTACACTATGGTAAAACCAAGACACAGTTTTCGCACAAGGTGCAGCCCAACAAGAATATCTGCAATTGCAAGGTCAATAACAGATGAGCGGAAAGAGCAACTTGACATATTAGGCCTAGCAGGCTTAATATCAATCAAGCAGACAAAGATAAACAACCATTTTGCACTGTTCGTAATGAACAAATACGATCAAGAGAAAGAATCGTTCAAGTTACCTGACGGGACACACATGAAGATATCACCAATCGACTTTCATAGGGTATATGGTCTGCCGATGGGGGATAGGGAAGTTGTACCTCCCACGATTTCTTGGGATGACGCAGCAGATTATGCAGTAGAAACCCTACTCGAAGTAGATGGAACATCCACTCCAAGGGTAAAGCTAAGTCAGGTAGAAAAAGATCTTCCTACAACCAAACTGACTAAGAGATGGATGCAATTGTTCTTTCTGCTGGTCACCGGAGGCTTGCTGTGTCCAACTTCAGCACCTATGGCTGAACTCAACATGCTTGAGTACTTGAAGACCGAAGAACTGAAACATTTCACCAGCTACAACTGGTGCAAATACTTCTTCAAACACATGAATGAAGGATTGAAATCACCAAAGCTCTATGTCAATGCAGATCTTCACTTCCTTACAGTAAGTCTCCATTCCCTTGGCCATTTCAACCTTGTTACTCATATATTTTATATATAAATGATACTCTTTGAAAAAAACTAATACAACTATCTGCATAAAAAGGTATGCTTCATGTACAAACTGGACGAAATGGCATTCTCAACCCAGCTTCGAACACCAACAGTAAGCTACTATGATGATAACAATGTTGATAGCAACTTTGAGAACATTAAGAGCTACTACAATGGAAAAGAGTTGAACGAGATCGAAAAGCTTGCCAACATTAATGACGATGAGGCTGATGGTGCAGCTGATGAGGAAGAGGAGAATGAGCCAGTCTATGAATCACCGAAAAGACAAAGAAACAAAAGTCCAGACCAGTCATCATCACTGAACTTTGATTTGAAGAATATCAGAACAGTCAACCAAGTAAGTACAAATTATCTATATTACAGTTGTCCAATTAATACTAAGCGTAAGTCCTTTTGTGTTTTAGTTTGTTACCATATGGTAAGGTGTGGTAAGCTATGGTTTCATGTTATAAAAATGGAGCAAAACATAAGCCCCTGTTGTGGTTTACTTCGTTACCATATGGTAATGTGTGGTAAGCAAATGGTTTCATGTTA